CGGCTCAAAAAATCAACGGTGAGGCAGTAAGGCCTGCCGTGTGGGCAGACAACAGGGAGACATCGCCGGAGGGCTCTGGCCATGGAATACCTTCAGTCAGGAGGACCAGACACCCAGCACACATAACGAAGGTGAGATGGGACGAAGATCGCAAAAACCGCCCCCACTCACCCTGAAGCCACAGCGTGATATAGGCCAAATGCTACAAACGCCTAATGTAACACAGGCCCCAACCCCCCGAGAGGCCTCCCCACCGCCATCGGATGACGGGGACCCACATGACAGCTCTCTACCGAGCCCCTGACCTCAAGAGCTCCCACAGGGCACACAGGACTGCACACCAGCTTCAAAAAGCGACATACAAGCCATGCTAACAGGTCTACAGCACAACCTTAGGCAGATGTGGGATGCAGATCTGGCGGTACTTACTACCAAAGTGCAAGCACCCAAGCGCCCGAGGAAGAAGTAAAAGACCTGAGACAGGACTTCCACACATTGGGGGAAAGCGTACGGCAACTGCAATCCACACAGGCAACTATGGCCAGACAAGTAAACATACATGATTACAAGGGCAGATGCAAGAACATCAAGAATAGAGGGGTCAGGGAGTCAATACGGCTAGAAGAGTAACCCCACTTTATCAGACGCCTAGCAACGGCAGTGTTGCCAATGAGACAAGCCAAAACCTTCTCATTCAACGCAGTTTACAGGATCTCTAAATCCCCACAAGCCCCTAACGCAGCTCCACGGGACCTTATATTGCGGTGCCAAACAATGACAGACAAACTGGCAATGCTGACTGCATTGAAAGAAAAAACACCCTTTGAATTTGAAATGGCCAACTCTCATTTTTTCAGGACTTTAGTAGGGCTACACAAGTGTAGCGCAAAAATATGCAATTGCTAACCAAACCACTACAAGCAGCAGGAATTGCTTACAGATTGGCGACACCTGGGACACTTTGGGTGATGAAAGAGGCACGACACTACAAGGCTACTGGCCCAAAAGAGGGCCCAGCACCGCTGGCAGCATTGGGACTCCCCCAACAAAATGAGGACTCTATGCTACCACCTAGCCCTTAACCACAGACCACAGGCACTACAGCTAGCTTCAGACCCAGAAAGAAGAGAGGAACCATGACCTGAACCAACTCCTAGTGGCCACAGCTGTTCTTATATTTGACCACAATGATATGTTGTGGCACCTTATTCACCAATTGTGTTTAAACCGGTTTAAGTTACATGTCTATTTTACTTTAGTTTATTTTATTTTACTTGTTAAATAGTGAACTGCACCTCAGAGGTTCCAGATCCATGAGAGGGGTGCCATGCAATTTTAAAATGAGCCAATCACTCTATGGAAATGGGGTACTACTTACATAGGAGCCCATCCCCCTTAACCTGCACTAAACAAATAAATAGAGATACCATCCCTATGATGGCTCAACTATGCCATGCAACCCACTCAGGATCCTACTTGACTAGATTTACACCTCTAGCATTCCACAAACAGACTATACCTCACAACTTAACCTAGCCCAGTTTAATGTAGGCATCACTGTCTAGAAAACAGCACACCATAAACCAAAGTGACATCCACTAAGCCAAGCTCTGTAACCTCTACTGTCCAGAGACCTGGTAACTGCAGATGAACCTCCAATGACACACGATGTTAAGTCCTTATACAGACTAGACTTACAAAACTCACACGACATAGAACACACTCGCCACCAATCCTGAAGGTCAAGGAACACCTGCAACATCAGGACACCATATCCAGGCCTCTTTATCTCACTGGCTACACGAATCACAGATAGTGGTGCTGTTAATCCCACACAAACGAGTAGACTACACTCCCCTTATCTCATACCACACCTCTCGTTATAACTTATCAGTCCATTTTATAAAAAATGTGCGAATTGTACCACCATGACGCCTTGTATTACCTATGGTATGCTATTCTGTAACGTGTCATTGCTGTCGTGGTTCTACACTTATGACTTTTACTTGTTTGCATGAAAAAGAAAGAACTGACATTTTTTTTAAAAATAAATAAACAACAAATTAAAATATTAAAATAATGAAGACCAAATCCACCTAATAAAGGGGATTAATACGTCAACAATAGTTCCTTGTGAAAGTATACTTATAATGCAGTACTTGCCTATTCTATAGTCCATCTTACCCTGTTCTGACAATATTGTGTGTTGCTGGCAATGATCTATGACATGTTACAAAATGGCTGATGTCTGAGGTGTACCTAAGGGGTTAGGTGTCTTCGTGCACAGAAATATTGATATAAAAGATCACACTGCATAACTATTAACAAAATGTGTAAAGACAAAAATAATGTGATATGAAGCCAGTCACTGAAATAATGAATGAATGTTAAAAACATAATCCCAAATATTCATGACTTCACAAAACACCTGTGTGTTGATACCACACAGCTTTGGAATCAGCAACTTACACACAGTGATTATCATTACTCAAACAGAAAATACAGGTGCAGATATGTTTATTGTTCAAACCTCATCATGGTTAACTTAACTTGACATTTTCTAGGCTTTGTCAAAGGCAATTTACCTTTATGTGAATTAAGAAAGAGCATTTTAATGGTTGTTCTATTAGTTGTTTAAAACCAGCCATTTATTGATGTGAAGCAGTGCAGTTTGTACCCGGGAGATCCTGTCCGGTATTGTATCAGAACAATGACTGCCTGCGCCTAATCCTTTTAATTCATATTGTAATGACTGCATCCTATTCTCTTCCTATCATCACAGGGCAAGCTTAATTAGCTTAATAATTAGGCTCAGCCAAGGTAACTATATTTACCAGAAACAAAATATATTGCCGGTTGAAGGATGCTTATGGATTTTCAATCTCCAGCAAGTTCCCAGTAGACCTGCACCTCCTCTAGTGTCCTTTCCCTAACTCATCTATCCCTGTGTGTTCCGCCTCTCTCTACCTTGGAACTAAAATTGGGGAATTTAGACAACTCCCATGAATCTCTGCCTGCAACCTTACACACTTTTTGGATGGATAAATGATTTCTGGGAAATGTAGTTCACTAGATTTAAAGGAACACTACAGAGTTAGGCATACAAATATTAATGCTATACTGCTCAAATATTTAGATAACCCCTTCCCCGTGTGGAATAAAAATGATGTTTTACTTACTTATTTACTCCACGCGGCCACTCAACCTCTCTGGCTGAGATCATAAATCATGATGATCTCAGCCAAATCAATGCTTCCACTTAGGGAAGCATTAGGAGGCTAATTTGCATGCACAGCAGAACACCATGCTGTGCCAATCAGTATATTCTTATA